CTGGGCTCACCTTCCGCTCCATCGGTCCTGGTCGGGGAACAAATTTGGTCAGACCCTGCAGAGCTGGAGACGCTCCTCCTGAGTTTAGCTGAGGGTCATAAGAGGACATATTAAATTACAAACAATGTGCGGCATGAGTTTGATCCATCATTATATTTGAACTGAATTAATCCAAACTGGTCTATATTTGAAATAAGAAGCAGAAATAATCTAAACAGGATCAAACTGAAGGAGTAGTATTGACCTGGAACTTATTTTATTGCTGATTTACTGTTTTTCTCTCAATTTAAACTTAAAAAGCATCTAGTTTTTATATTTTTATTTTAATATAAAGATACAGAATAATTCCTTGGTACCTCTTCTAAAAACATTTCCATCTAGATAAAAATTTCTGAGAGATTTCTGGTTTTAACCATTTATAGTCCATGTTACCATTTAAGTAACTTGGATGTAAACATCAGTTTGCAGCAAACGGGCAAAATCTTGAGGTCAAATGTGGTGTGGAGGGTCCACGCCTGAATGGAACTGCTTCATAGATTACCACCAGCAATCTGTTATCCACTGTGTGTGATGTGTTACCTGCTATAATTTAGGTTTAAAAAAAAAAAAGTCAATTAGTTAGAAACTTAACTAAGCTTTTTTAATATTTCGAAAAAGCCAATTAAAGGTAAAAGTAAATTTGAAAAGTTAAAGAGTAAAAAAAATCTGTTCCTGTGTCAGCATTATTGTTCTGTTATGTTGTAACAAAAAATATGTTCTCTTTCTATAATTAATGTTTTTAAATGAATTTCTTCGAGAAGCAATCTTCAGATTTTTTATACCACATTAGGGAAGTTGACTGCTTTTGGTGATTACATTAAAGGAATAGTACACCCAAAACATGATTAGCCTTCATTTTCTACTCACCCCCATGCTGAACAACACTCTGGAGTACTTTTTTGATATCTCAAATGCATCTGTAGATCTGGGAGGCTTCTTGCTGTCTGCTGACATTCAAATAATGGAGGTCCATGGTGCCCGAGACAGCAAGGTCCATAAAAGTCCACAAAAACGTGTCAATATTCCTCCATACTGCTCGTCCAATGTATTCCAAGTGTCCTGAGTGGGTAGCATCCAGAATTTACTCGAAACGAAGTCATTTAGAATGTTTTTAGAGCATAAACAGTAGTGTATAGGATTTCCTGAAAGCGCGCACATGCGCGCTCACGACGCTACGGAAGCCGGCAGACCAAACCAGCGCATTCAGCGTCTGCTCTGCCAATAATGCAAGCGTAGAAGAAGAAATGTGCTGTTTACCTGTGCAAAGAAAGAAACAACGAAAGAAAAATGTCTGAGGACTTCAGTGTTGAGGAAGAGCATGAGTTCTTTGCCGAGCTGAATGCGCTGGTTTGGTCTGCCGGCTTCCGTAGCGTCGTGAACGCGCATGTGCGCGCTTTCAGGAAATCCTATACACTACTGTTTATGCTCTAAAAACATTCTAAATGACTTCGTCCCGAGTAAATTCTGGATGCTACCCACTCAGGACACTTGGAATACATTGGACGAGCAGTATGGAGGAATATTGACACGTTTTTGTGGACTTTTATGGACCTTTCTGTCTCGGTCACCATAGACCTCCATTATTTGAATGTCAGCAGACAGCAAGAAGCCTCCCAGATCTCCAGATGCATTTGAGATATCAAAAAAGTACTCCAGGGTGTTGTTCAGCATGGGGGTGAGTAGAAAATGAAGGCTAATCATGTTTTGGGTGTACTATTCCTTTAACTTTGATTTTTGCCGTTAAAGTAATTATTTATTTTTTTATTTTATTTTACAAAAATAATAAGGTCTTGTTCTTTCCTTTGATACCAACTCTAAATTGAGTATTTAAAACTATAGTGAGTGTAAATCTGCTCAAGTGTTGAGTTAATTAATAGTCAATATAAAATTTGACAGCCCTGCAGTGTAACTTTTACTTTATGTGGAGTTGATTTCCCACCAGTCTCTGATAGGTCTTCTTGATTTAGACACTAATATTAGTAAATTAACTTCGAAAATCTGACACTAGCAAAAAATTTAATTTTATACTCATTTTGACTCTGAAACAGAGTTATATTCAACTCTGTTTGTGTTAGAGAAACACTGGGTTTTTTTTTACTGAATAAGTTTTACACATAATGATGGAAATCAGCTCACAAGTTAAAGGGATTCAGAGTAAAAAGGTAAAAGATTTATTGCAGTGTCTGTGTCCACCTGGCTATTGAACAGTCCATATATTTCCTCTGCAGGACCGTAGATATCCGCCATGTCGAAGGTGGTCAGTCCAGCATCGACGTAGGCCTGCATGGCCTCAACTGGAGAGGGAGGAGAGAACCAGCCAGTGTTAGGATCACAGCAACGTGTCCTTCAGAGATAGACAGACTATGCGCTCACATCTGTTTGCAGGGTCACGTTGCTAAAATGATCCAAAGTGCTCTGCTTTAGATCAAATTAAATACCGTCTTGGTGTTATTTGTTAATCATGCTAGCATCTTTATTGCAAGTTAATTCAACATCATATAAAGCATAGTGAGGATGCTTGTTGGAACAAAGTAAAAGGGTTGTATGGGTGTCTCCACAGAAGAAAAGGTTCAGTATGGCTGCAGCTATGAGCAGAGTAAAAACATCACTGTTATGATTTTTGGAAGAATTTAGAAACTCAATTATTAAGCATCAAAAACAGAAAAAAAAAAAAGATTTGCCTTGATGTTTATATATGTAGTAGAATTATTTTATTTTTCCTGTTTCAATTTCCTAACTTTTTGCTCAATAGAAGTGAAGTAAATACTTGGATTCAGACAATGTTTAAGATTATAGCGTCATGTACTAATATATCAGCTAATCCGTTTCTCCAGCCCCTGAGAGGTGAGGCAAAATTTATAATTTAGGTAAAGAACACAGCTCCCTGTTCTACCTGTTCAGAAGAAGTTTTATTTTCTAACTCTCATCTTCTGAGGACTGACACATATACTGTATTTCTGTATGGATTTCGGAAAAGGGAGATTCAATTTTTTTCCCCAAATAAATTTAGCAACGTATTAATTACAAATGGCTCCCACTATTCAGGTAAATCAGTATGACATAATGGCCACTGTTTCCTCCAGAAGTCATAGAAATATTTCTTTAATAAAGACATATGTATACTTTGTCTGTTATAATTATTTCATTTTAAAAATGCAAATTTCTGGAAATACCTGGAGAAAAACAATCTGATATCAGAAAGCAATTTAAGCCGTTTATCTAAGCTCCTGGGTGCCATAATGTGTTTTAAACACAAGGTTTTCACAACTTTTCTAAAGGTTTGTTGAGATTTTCCAGGGCCAAATAGGTCCCAATACTGAGGCAGTGAAAACAATTTCTTCTTAAGTGGCACAAAAGTCTAAATGTATTTTCTTAGGATTCATGTTAAACACGTCCTGTATAAATTATTGTTGGCAATCAATTCAGTCAATCTACAAATAAGAAGTAAAATATATATATTTTTGTATCTGAAAAACAGTTTTCTAGTATTAGCATCTCAACTAAATATACAGTGGCATGAAACTGTGTTACCCCCCTCCTGATTGCTTTCCTTTTTTGCATACACGTGAAAATCAATTGTTAGAGAACATCAAACAGTATTAGTTGGAGATAACACTAGTAAACACAATACTTTGTTGTTAAAATGAATGCTTTTATTAAGGGAGGACAAAATGTTCAAACCTACATGGCCCCATGGGAGTACGTATTTAAGTACATATTTACTCCTCTATGTAAATATGTAATTCATCAAAAGTCTTATAGGATTTTTGAAATGTAAGACTTTATTCAGGACTAGTTTTTATTGTTCTGTTGCAGATTTTTAAACTCAGAAAACAAAAATATAACTATAAACATTCAGAAATTTTATAATAATCTACATAATATCTGAGCTCCCTTCTAAAGGATACATATTGCCTATTTAATAGTGTTAAATACTATTAAATGTCAGTTGTTAGATGGATCTAAACTGCATGTTATGTCATTCTGGCAGTCGGTTACTGAACATGGCCCTATGCGGCACCCATACGCGCATGTACCATAAGACCTGTGCTATGTGCGCAGCTAATTTTTATACAGAACAGTTAAAGCTGCATAGGAGTAAATAATGCGTTTACCTGCTTTGGTTTTGTTCACAGCCCCATGAGCTCCAGACACCTGCCACATCCCGTTCAGGACCCGGCAGATTTCCAGACCTCCGGAGAGCTTCACTTTAGGAACAGACGACATTCTGCAGTAAAGACTGACTGTAACTTCTCACTGCGGTGGGAAATAAACATATAATACTAATAAAACACACTTCTAAAAGAGCGTTGAGTGACTTTTAAATGTGACAAGTGTAACTTACATTTTGTTATCTGTTGCTACAGCCAGAGCTACACCTCACTGCTCATGTAAGACGCTCACAATCTTCTGTTTATAGTTACAAAAGACTCGGTGATAAGCGTTACGAAACATACGGCCACAACGACCACTAGATGGCGCCATTTGGCTGGAAATAAACGAGCATTTATTGGTGCGTCTGCTGCCCCCTACTGGACATAGCTATAGCGATAGCTCACCCTATCAGATTTGGATGTTCTTTTTACTTCCATGCCTTGTGGTGTATAACGTTTGGTGTGAAGAAACTTTTACATCTTGCACTGTCCTGACCTGACCTCAACTTTTACAGCGTTGGCATGAATTTTAGTTGAAACTGTAATTTGGGATTTTTTTGACACCCCCCAACCCAAAAAACAAACAAACTGTGGAATGATTAAGTTGCAGGCAAAAGGGATTCTGTAAATAAACGACCCTACAGATTGAAAGGATGTCATTAAAGTTCATGCATTCATTAAAAAGCAAACTTTTAGCAATATATATGTTGCTTCAAAAAAAAAAAATGTATCTTCTAGAAAAAAAAAAAGAAAACCATTCAAAGCATTAAATTATGAGTCCATTAGAACTAGACAGAAATTATCTTTATTTTACATTTACAGAGAAAGTATTAAAGTTTCATTCTGCTTTGGATAAATTCTTCTTCTTCTTTTTTCTTTTTCTCCTCCTTTTCTTACTGGGTGCATCACCATTAGTGTCCTCTGCTGGTAATGTCACCATCTCCTCAGCATCTGAGGATTCAGGGTTTTCCTCTACAGCAGAACCAGGCTTTTCCTCCGCAGCAGCATCAGGTATCTTTGCAGCAGGCAGGACGTTCTCAACATCACTGTGACAGCATAAACAAACAAACAAACAAAAAAAAACATCAGGCAAACTAAGATACAAAGAAATGAATGCCATATTGTAGTTTTCAAATAACTACACTTGTGAGATGTTCGCACAACACATTTGATTATTAACCAGATTTGACCTTATTTCCTTTTATGAAATGTATAGAGAAACAACTTTACAAGAAGACCCCCAATATTCACCTGACTGGATCTGCAGGTTTCTCCTTTATATTACTGGTGTCACTAACTTTCTCCAGCAGAGCAACAAAAAAGCCATGTGTGAGAGTTTTGCTGGTACTGGCACGTAAACACTGTGGAAGCGGCTCCAGGCCTCGTTCAGGCCACTGGGGCAGCAGTGGCACTAACCTAGAAAAAGAAAACAGAAGTTATTTGTTAGGTTTTGTTTTAAATCTTTTATAAACGTATGCATTAGCGTAGAAGCCTGAAAGCCTGTTCATGAACTGTTAATAAAAAGGAAACTGAGCCATCTGGTGAAAATCTTCCTTGTATTGACAGCTAACATGGATTAGAAACATATATACCTGAAGTTGGGGTTCTGCTGCAGACAGGCAGCAATGACTTCCTCGTTCTCCTGGCTGTGGATGGAGCAGGTGGAGTAGACCAGGCGCTTCAGGCGGGGGAACCTGAGGCCGTGGTTCAGGCACCGCAGCTGGAAGGAAGCCAGAGATGCCAGGCGAGCTTTTTCCTCCTCCTGGTTTGCTGCAGAGTTGTCCCGTAGGCAAACCATCCCTGGACACCACAGACAATCATTTCAGTTGGCCTTAAAAAAGCAACAAAAGAATTTCTACACAGAGATAAAAGGGTACCTGATCCACTGCAGGATGGATCCAGCAGGATGTATTCCACATCTTTATACTGTGAACCATCGGGATCCACCTTTAGGAAGTCCTGGTTGGCCAGCTGGTGGCAGGTGACCCCCGCTCTGAGCAGTAGGGTTGACATGGTGGCCAAACGCTTCCCATCCAGATCAAATGCAAACAGCTTCCCTCTGTTCTTCATGATGGCTGCCAGGTGGCTGGTTTTATTGCCAGGGGCAGCACAGGCATCAATGACATGGCTGCCAGGTGGGGGGTTAAGGAGATAAGCAGGGAGGCAGCTGGCTTTGTCCTGCAGGATGATGTGACCTGCCTTGTACAGGAAGTGATCATGGAAGTCTGTCTTTGGAGAGAACACCAGGAGCTCTGGCAGGTGCAGGTCAATCACAAACTGCTTGTTCTTCAGGGTGAAGTTATCCAGCTTCACGGCCTGACCCAGGTAGGAGAAACCATCCCTCTTCAGGTAGTCCACAGCATCCTCCACGGTGGTCTTCAGTGTGTTCACACGGACATATCTGGGCAGCTGGTCCCCGGGGTTCTGCTTGGCGCTGGCTGGAAGGAGATCCTCATTCCTGCTGACTTTTCTCCTCACCTTCATGCGGGCCAGTTCCGCCTGCAGGCGGGCCCGATGCTTCATCATCTTGGCCTTCCAGGTACCGCCGCATTTCAGCCCCTGGCCGATCAGGAGGTCATATACCAGCACCTTGGCCAGGGGCATCTTCAGCTTGGTGGGCTTCAGCAGCTTGGTGCTCTCGATGATCTCCTGCAGGATGGAGGAGAACTTCTGCGTCTCGCAAACCAGAGCGAAGAGCTGCTTGATGTTGGAAAACTTACTGTCGTAAACCAGAGTCTTCAGGGCGCCCTGTTTCATCTCCGCTTTCTCCAGGATCTCCGCAGCTTTGATGTACAGCGCCATGATGGCGGAAGGTCCTGCCTTAGCAACACTTTGTTTAGAAAGTTGTTTAATTTTCTCCGATCCTGCGATCCGCTGACATTAGGAGAACAAACTGGTTTATTTTCCTCATGCGATCATCCTGGATTCCTCCTTGGTTCAACCACGTGAGGGGAAGGCTGGTGACCCCGGAAGCAAAATGTGGCACATTGTTTCCGGGTGACGTAGCGCCATCTTCACCCAATCAGATTGCAGTTTATATTTTACACTTAAAATTATAGTTATACACATAGACATATAATAATAGTGCTGGTTTAAATCCAAATGATGAGTATATTAGTCTAGGGTGACTAATGTAGGATTTAATTTTATTTTTTTAGGAGAAATGTAGCAAATGTAGTGTAGTTGAGTTTTCCAGCAAATACACTGACACCCTCGAAGACAAGGCTGTAAAAGCTCACTGTGCAAAATGTTTTATTAAAGCACATCAGTGGAAGGTTGAGTGGAAATAAAAGGTTTGATCACTAAACAAAATCCATGTGAGAGTTTGGGAGACGTTTGAAAGGCATGGGATGCTGCCAGTCTATGCTTCAAGAGTCACAATACAATAATAAAAGATGTGTCCAGAGCATGGCCTACAGCTGTTGGCTTTCTGTTTGTTACATCGGCATCATTGTATCTCTGCTTCTGTTTCTTTGAACCCCACACTGAACCTGGTTCTGCTAGAGGTTTCTTCCTGTTGGGGCGGAGCTTTTCCTCTCCACTGTCGCTGCAAGCATGCTTAGAGTGAGGGATTGCCTTACAGTCAATGAGTCGATGCAATCAACTGGTTTTCCTTGGATGGACAACTGAATCAATTTGACTGTATGATATGGTGAATTGTAAAGTGCTTTGAGATGACATGTGTTGTGAATTGGAGCTATAGAAATAAACTGAATTGAATCAGAAAACTTCTATCTAGGCTAAGGAACAAAAAAAATAGGCTGTTTCTCAGTAATTTATATTACTTTTACCAAGCAAATGTAAAATTTATTTAGGAGTCAAGTTCCCTGAGTCTGGTGAGAAACAGAAAGGCATCAGTCCTCAAAGAAAACCAGGAAGCTTTATCAACCAGGGCTCTATCCGTTAATCAGGATGTTCTGCTGCTCAGTCTGTTCATTCAAACTGTATCTACAAAGTAAATCAAATTATAATTTTATCTGCTTTGTAAGAATGAGCCTTAATTCTCGACTAAACTGAATATGTTAAGAACATTTTTGGTCTAACTGCAAGACCAAACATAAATATTTAGATTTGATAAATTTGTTAATTTAATAAATGTAATGTTAATAAAAAAAAAAAAAGAAGAAAACTTTTAACTCATTGGAAGAGTCCAAATCGATTGATATTCAAATTGTTACAAAGTAATAAGCAGAATTAAAAATCTAAACAGAATATTTTGTAAAGAATAAAACTTACCAGAGACAACTTTGCATAATATTATTTTATTTCCTACAAACATCCTTTACGTTTTCCAAGTAGCGATAAGATCACTGCTGTGTAAATGTAATCAAACTTGCCACGGGTCTGAAAGCATGCCTGAACACTTCAACCAAACTTGACATAAAACCTATATACAGTCAATGCAACACAAAGAATCCAAACTGTGTTCAAAATGTTTGAATCAATTCTTTACATCAGCACTTAGCAAACAATCATCCTCACAATTTCATGAAGGGAAGAAATCAGTCCAGTTCCCATATAAAGTTAAGACCCTGAAAAGGTTAGCACCCCTACAAGTGCATTAACAGAACTGCATCAGATTTTATTGCAGGAAATAGTTTCATTAGAATCAGGAGTGGTTTTAGGTCTGCATGTGATCAGGTTATAAACCTGAAAACAAATTTCTTAAGGATATAAATATTACTAAAAGTATTCCATGTGCAACAAAAATAAAGATGGCAATAAACTCTTAGAATAAAAAAAATAATCATTAGCATTTATTACTACTAATAGCATTACAGTAAATAATTCATCCCTGGATGCTCCAAATAGATTTAGCCTTTGTTTACTGCAAAGTTGCTCCTTAAATCAGAGCAAACCTCACTTAAGCTTAAAGTTTTTGGGCGCACCGCTGACCCGGTTAACAGTTCTGGCCTTTAGAGAGTTCCTGTACAGAAGCAGCCTCTCGGTGGTGTGAGATGGGAGGTGGTTCCTCTTGGCTCTAACGATAGAAGTCGCCATTGGATAGAGCCTGTCGAAGCCTCCAGAGGAGGCAGGCGCAGCCAGCAGCTTCTTGGCAACATCCTGCAGCTGGGGGAACCTGGAGGCCGACTTCCAGTAGAGCAGACTGGAGCCGCTTTCACACATGGGTTCAGACAGGTACATGTCCAGCTCGGAAACCTTCATAGTCTTTGATGGAGGTTGCAGGTAGTTGAATATTGACTTGCGCTTGAGTTCGTTTTCACCGACTACATCACAGTTGTCGTCTGAGCTTCCTCCAGACCCGTCTGCTGAGGCTTTAATATCATCAGGGCCTTCCTCTGGCCTCTCCGGCTTCTCCGTGGGCTGCTTAATTGTCTCCTCCTTGGTTTCCTTCAAAGGGACGGATGCTGATGCAGCCTTTGTTTCTAAAAACGATGCCAAGATGCTTTGAGCCTCTGACTTTGAGGGCGGCGCCAGGAACTCTGTCTGGGTTTTAGGTGTGGAATCAGAAAATGGCTGAAACAGTATAAACGTTAAAGTTAGGATAAGCTGGATTTGAAAATCATTAATTTGCTTTAAAATACTATTGTTACAACGCACTTTTGTGCACAGCTCATCTCTAGTTAGCAAACTGCAAATGTAAACACCTACTAAATTTGCTGAACAAAACAAGTACCTGCAGTTTCATCCTGGGGTCAAGTACAGTAGCTAGAATAATCTCCTTCTGGTGAATCAAAGAGTTGAAATGAACAGAAAGGCCTTTTCTCAGGGCCTTACAGAAATGGTTGTAGTTAGTCACTCTACTTTCTAATGTCTTATCAAGGCCAATGAGGGAGGGGATGATGAAAGAGATGGTCACTCCATTTCCTTGAAGTACCTAAAGGAAAAAGGAGAAAATAAACTCAGGCAACCTGAAACAGAACCTTCCCACATTTTATCACCTTCAAACCAAAAACTTCAATGTCCTCCAAATAAGTAACATGTCTTTATTTTCATACCCATTTGCACATTTCAATCACATTAAGTAAATATCTACAAATTAAAGAATGGCTCAATGGCACACCTACAAATTTCACAGCTCACCACTACTTAATAGCAAAGAGTAAAATAACTATTTGTAATATACTCTACAAATGTGGAACTAAGAAAGTTGATCTTAACTGGAAACCATAAAAACATTCCCTGCTGTTTGCTGGAAAGCACGACAAACTAAGATTGCAAGCAAAATTTTATCTTTAGTGGAAATCTAAGACACAGAGGTGATGGTAAGATGGACAGAGCTATATACAGAGGAAAACAAAAGATTTAGAATGGTTTAGTCCGGGGATCTGCAATCCGCGGCTCCGCATGTGGCTCCCTGGAGCTTTTTAAAAAATTTTGTAAAATGTGGTATTTTTTGTTTTTTTGTTTGTTTTAATGTGGTGTGCAGGAGGTCAAACAAAAAATTCATTTTTTCCAATGCTGTAATCATTTGTATAATAAATAAATGTAAACAATAGTTTGCATCATAGCCATAGAGATCAGTGGTCATAACTTGGAACCAGCGTGGCGCGGTGCCAGGCAAACAAGCGGTGGGTGTGTCTCAGGCCATGGATCCAAAAAAAAGAGGGAAAAAAGAAAGATAGCAAATGAGATAAAATGATTGAAAGCATAGAACGAATCGTTTGCTTTCATTACCAATGAGGAAGGATGGCCTGCATTTTTGCTTTGTAAAGAGATATGCAGCCAAACACCAAGCTGTGAGTGAGAGAAAAAGTGCGATTGCAGAACTGGATACATTAGATGGGAGCAAAGATAGACTTAAGAAGTGGATTACATCTCCAAACTCCACTACTGCTGCTAGTTTGGTTGCAAGGATGGAAAACCGCCCACAGATCAAACAGTTAGCGCTCTGATGCAGGTATGTGAACTTTCTTTAATTTTTTCCCCCAAATCCTAAAAATATAAATAACACCAAGGAACACTGGTGACGGAGGATGTGGGATTTCAGGGTTAGAGAGCTCTGCTCTGATGTATATCAGTTCCTGCTTGGTTTCTCATGTCTCAATCAACTCCTCCCAACAGAAACACGTCCGCCATAGAGAGATTCCTTTATCGTGTTTCTATAATTTCATCAATGAAACAAAACTTAAACCACGCTGTGAAGACAATTGCTCCAGATAAACATTTAAAAAATCCCAACCTGATGACACATTTCCAGCATTTCATGCATAAATAAATCACCATAAGTTGAAATTAAACGGATCAGTTCAATAAGAAATGTTTCCACCAGTACTTTAGGAGAAGTCTATTACACTGCTGTTATATAGTCATGCAATGGGAAACAGCTTTGTTTAGGTGATGCAGAGCACAGAGGCTAATCTGAACACCATGCATCCTTTGCCCCCACTAATATTATTTGGAGCCCAAAACAAGTACCTGTAACGCCTCCTCAAAAGGCTCAAGGAGACCCAGGATATCAATCACTTGCTCCCTCTTCACCATGATCAGAGGGGGGGAGGTGGCTGCATCTGTGGCCTCTATGCGGGCCTGGGCCAGGAGAGTCATGATGATGCTCCAGGTGGTCTCATGCACCATACGCCGTAGGGATAACATCAAAGAGTTCCAGCGACAGTTGGTGGAGGAAGGGCACAGCGATACATTCCCCTCCTTCAATAAAAGCTGGGGGGAAATAAACCAGTTGAAAAAAAATCCTGTTACTGATTTGGGAAGAAAAAAAATGCTTTTTTTTTTTTTTAAATGAGGGCAGGTAACCCATAATAGATTTTTTTTATTTATGAATTGATAGTGACTGTTTGCAAGCAAACAACATAAGTTACTTTCTGAGCTCTAAACATCTCTTCTGTCTTTATTTAAATACATAAGTCATCACCTTTGATTCCTACTTTTAGTGTAAATAGGAATAGTATCAGTAAAGATTAAAGTTTCCTCATGTATGGGAAAAAAAAACATAAGATTTTACATTCCTGTTCAATTTCTCCTACCTCGCCCCAATAGACGCTGCTCCTGAAGAAGGCAACTACATTGTGGATCTGTGAGAGCACGTTCTCCACTACTCTGGAATTTTTCAGGGCTTCCCTGATCACAGTCTGCAAAGTTCTGGCGACACACATGTTCCTCATCCCAATCTGTAGCTCTGAAAACGGTGACTCTGATTCAGACATCTCATCTGACAGAAACGCCAAGATATCATCTCCGTCCAGTTCTCCCCTGTTTGATGAGCACACAATCTTATAGTCACAAAACAGCTTGTTTCCAGCGAGGATTTTTTTAGCCTGGTTGGCGAGGACGTAGCCGATGTGGCGTGGGAATATACCATAGCTCAACAGGACGCCCTCAAGCTCACTGGCTACAGCGGCACTGAGGTTTTTATGGCAGAGGTGGCGGAAGGCCACGATAGGGCGGCGGAATTGCCAAGAATCGCTAACAAAGTGGAGTTGGACAACAAGGATAGGGTCTTCCACTTGTTTGGACTCATCCCCCACCCAGAGGTCACAGGTGACATGAATCGCACTTTTAGGGTCTTTGGTTTTAGAGAGGGAGAGCTTGAGTTCCCGGATGAGCTGTGGCTTTATATTTCTCTCCACTTCTTCATAGAGCTGAATGCCGATGATGCGCTGCGATAGTTTGTGGTATTCAGGGCAGATGGTACCCATGAATGACCTGAAGCCGGCACCTTCAACAAAGCTGCGAGCACAAAACAGAAACTTCTTTATTTTTTTAACCAAGGAATGTATAAATCAAATTTAATCCAATGTGCAATGAGAAAAGTGACTTACCTGAGTGGCAGCATGTCTTCTGCAATCATCCTCAAAGCTGCCTCTGCAAATCGTTTTTGTTCCAGCTGCGTGGCTGATGCTGCAACCACAGAGCTTGGACTGGAGCTGGAGCTGCAGGGCTGAGAAGGACTGGGGGAGGACACCTCTCTTCTTGAAGCTGAAGCAGGTTGAGTCTGAACAGCTGTCTTTGGTTTAGCTTTCTCTGACTCCTGCTGCTTTACAGCCTCTATGTTCCCTGTTTTCATCTGAACACAACCAACAATAAAAAAAAGGGAATCATTCTTAACAGGAAACACTTAAATAGAACATTTACAACTATTATTTCCACTATCATCTTAATATATAAACATATTTGAACTAAAACTTAATATAAGCTCACATTGATTTCAGGCGTCACTGGATCAGCATCTATTACAACGTCACATTTGAAGTCCACCTGGTGCAGAGTGTAAATAATAAATTAAACATTTAAATGGATTTCAAACATTGGTATTCATATATTTTTGCTGATTTCAATGCGCCTTACCTCTCCATCTATGAAATGCTGAATGTCAATAGAGATTGTTTCAGCTACTCCTTTAAAATCGCCCATCTCTACTTTGCGTTTGATGTGGCCGTTCCAATGATTCTTGATGGAGTTCTCAGATCTGTTGGAAATTTCAAATATAAATGAGCTCCCAGGTCTTATTTAGTGAAAAAAAAAAACTATAAAAACAATACACTGAATAAATCGAATGCCATTCACCTTCCAGGGAGCAGTTTGGAAATCTCAGCCCACCGGTTCCCCAGAACGCAGTGGGCTTTGTAGATGATGAGGTCTTCTTCTTCAGTCCATGCCCTCTTGCTAATAGCTGGGTCCAGGTGGTTTACCCAGCGTTCACGACACTGTTTTCCCAACCTTCCATCTAGGTGCGTGGAAACTGCTTTCCAGTTTTTCCCATACATATTCACCAGCTCCACTATCTGTATAAAATGGACACAAATGCATAAAGAAAACTGACCCAAAAATTATAGAATTTTAAATCAAATTTGAACCTGTTGATTGTTTATTTTCTTAGTACGGGATGAAAACTCAGGATAAGTGTGAAACATAAAACTTTTAAGAGCAACTCTACTATAACTTGCATTCGTATAGGACATTTCTACTGTCCTATTTGACTAATTCTGTCTGCGTCTTCCTGTCATAAAAAAAATAAACTCCTTCAGTGTAATAGTTATGTGTTTTTCCTTCTTGGCTTCAATAAAATCTGTTTAATTAGACTGATTAGATAAAGGTTAAATAGGAGTTAAGAACATGATTTATTATTTTCAAGAGGCCATCTTCACTACTATTGCTTTATTAAAATGCAAAGCCTGCACCTGAAAGGGAGAGGGTGAATTAATGAGGATCCTTTTATTCAATGTCCATCAGGTATAAACCAAGCTGAGTCTCTCTACAAGAAAAAGATTGAATACAACAAGGGCTAAAACAATCAATCTGATTAATAGTAATTAAATGATTATTGAAATAATCAACTTATTTAGTCATCTATTAATCGTCAACTGGAGTATAGAGACTCTAAAATGTGCCTTTAGCTGATAAATCAGCCCACCATGTACAGCAATTCTATCAAAATTGTAAAACAACATGTGACCATTTTGCATTTAAGATAAAAATCTTTTTCATATATCAATATGCTCTATCCAGAATTCCTAAGGTGGAAAAGCTTTATTTTCAATTGGTTTAATACCACAAAAAGTCTTCTTTAACCTTTTGCTATCCAATTATTAATCGATTAATATAAAAAAATAATTAAAAGATTAATCATTTTGCAAAATACTCATTAGTTATAGCCCTAATTATCACCATAGGGGACAAATGAACTTAAAAGATTTTCGTATTCCATATTTGGAATTCTTACTCTTAAAGCCGGAGAAAAATATATTAAAACCTCAATTAACCTGCATTTGATATATTTTGAGAATGGGAGTTTAAATACAAGTCCTCTACAATAAACATTTCAATGAACACAACGCAATTTGCTCTATCTGCTGAAATAATCCTTCTAGAAAAAAGCTTATTCCACGATGGCGGCATCAGAAATCATATTGCTCACATGGGAACAGCTGCATCTGTCCATTAATAGTACCTGCATTTCGTTTAATAAAATCAAGGCAAATTCAATATTTGTGTTTATAGCATTAATAAGCAATTTTATCAATGTTAGACACAATTACTGATAGATCTGAGAGTGACAGTGGTGTTTATATAAGCTTAGCCTCTGTATCTGTGTAGTTATTTCAGATAGAATAACAGCAAACTTCCAATCCAGTCCCCCACCTTTTGATCTTCCTCTGCAGTCCAAGGTCCCTTCACTAAGTCTGGATCAAGATGTTTCTTCCAGCGAAGAATACACTGCAGTTCTGTTCTACCCTGTCAGAGAAAACAGGAAATATTTCAAGATTATGTAACATGACTAAACCTAGATCAAATCATGTTTAAACAATTTTTTTTTTTTCAACAACAAAAAAAATTATATAATTCAATCTATTTTTCTGCTGAATTTGTTTTCGGTTCACTTACTGGTAAAAAACTAGCAATGGTCTTCCAGTTCTTTTTTCCAAAGTTAGAGACAAGGATTTTGAGGTTTTCATCCTAGATGTCAGGGAAAAAATATTTTAGATAAGAGTATGTTATTTCCCACTACTGAGAATAAAATTGATCTTTATACCAAGATGCATTACCTCTTCTTGGGTCCATTTTATTTTACACTCATCAGTGTTCTGATCCAGTTTATCCCATGTAGTCACAACAGATGACTTACAATCCCCTTCCTCTTCCATTCTGCAAACAGATAACCATAGATTAAAATAATGCACCACCAAGATGCATGATAATAATAAAAAACCAAAAAAAAAAAAAAAATAGTCTCGGTAAACATAATCCCCTATGTTATGAGGAGCATATTTTATGGCTGATATTTTAAAATAATAGTTTTGTTATATGTATTTTTTTTCCTATCAACATTTATGGTAGAACCGTGGCTTCAACATTCAGTACAATTTTAATTCCAGCTACACCAAATATTTGCTTTACAAAGACACAACTGAAACCTGAGGACGAAAAAACTCAATAGAATTTAGAATCATAATTACAAATTAGTATGTGTGGTTATGAATGAAATTTACATGCATTGAAATCCAATACCAAAACAGGTGCCGGCAGCATAACACTTCTATTTACAGTAGCAGCCATTCAAAATGGCCATTCCCAGTCAAACGCCAGTCGAATTGCCTTTCACTGAATTACAGGGTCTGACCAGGAGATGATGCTTCTCTTTAGATCTTAGGCCCCGTCCACACGAAGACGAACCCTGGCCTAAACGCACAAATTTTTCACCAAACC